ACACACACACACACACACATACATACACACACACACAGACAGACACATGTTCAGCTGGGAAATTTTAAATTTAATGTACATGCCGGAGCATTTTACAGACCCAGGCTGTGTTGACTTTAGTAACTTGCATGTATCAAAAAAGCCAACAACTACTAGTTAGATGAGACGCAACGAGGGTTTTGTTGTTGATCTCAACATTAGATATCCCAGTAAATGAAATACACATCCAATGCCCAAGATGATTAAGCAGCATGTGGAAATAGAAAATTGATTCATATTAAAGTACGCGATTATCTGCTGGCCAGTGCTAAATCCCCCTTGACAATCCTCTCCAGGAGGTGCATATGACCCATTTGAACACTCAAATACAAGGGTGGAAAATTCATTTTGGACCAAGGCCATGAAACCATATCTTATGATGGATATGTATTCTATCCAGCGTAAAATCCAACTTACATTGGCCAAGTTTGCAAAGTATCCACCATAGATGAAAAACACCACAATAACGGCAGGGGCAGCGGCTTGGGCAACTTGGACATCTGGTACAGCGGCGCCAATAAGTAAACTAAGCGCCTGTGCAGCAAAAGATAAATCAAGGAAAATCCCCCAAAAAATGAAATAGCACGATGCAAGTGGGTTTAGGCCAATGATGTAATAGATTCCTAGAGAAAATATAGAGACCATGGCAAGCCGGAATGGCAAAATAGAGAACGCCTTGGCGAAATAGTACGAGGAGATATAATATGAGGATGAATATCTTTCCCTAATAACKATGGCTCGTTCAAGCACAAATATAATTATTACCGGCATGATTGTGCTGAAAAGCAGATTGGCAGTTAGAAAGAACAAGACACCCAACCGAGAAGTAATTGATGATTGCGAATAATCAAGTTGGAAAAATGTAAAGCAAATCAATAGAAAGATGAAAAGCGTTTGAAAGACCCCAGAAATCATGACAAGATAATTTCGGTTTGCATCCTTAAAAGAGCGAGAAGTGAGGATCAAAAACTCTGCAATCCATGAGTTTCCCATTCTTTTCGCAACCAATTTTGGATATTGTCGATGGTTAGATTCTACAATTTTTTCAACAGTGGAAGTATCAAATCTCGATTCCCATTCATCCAAAATGTGATAAATTCGCTTTGTAGACGATTCCTTTGCCGATGGCGATCTAAAGTCAACAGTAACCGTATCAAGAGCAAAGTCTGCAGGGTTCATATACATCGGACACTCATATCCAAGCGAGCTAAAATACGCGATTACATCTGATGACGGTCCCCAGTAAATAACCCTCCCTTGGGACAGAAGTAG